ATTAAAAGAAAAAAATTTTAAGCCGAAAGAAAAACCTGTAAATAGATCAAGGTCTGATTTTTTTATCTCTGGGCGTGTCCTTCAGTCAGGACCAATGGGGTACCATGCTCTGGCCCCCAAATCTGTCCTTTGTACTCCCTCGGGCTCCCTGCTTGTCTCCCACGGTTGCTCTGCCGCACGCTTTTTGTGGTTTGCCTCGGTGCATCAGGGTCAGTCTGGGCCAGTCCCAACACTGAGTCTCCAATGTTGTCCCCTTTAGAGCCTGGGGCCATCAAGACATGGCGTGTCTCGTGGTGGGATCAGCCACATTGCCCACTCTGTCCATTGGCTGTTCAGAGCGGGGATGTCATCCTCCAGTACTGGTGCATCAGGATATGCTCCACTCTCTCTTCTTCCCCCTAAGTGCTCCCATTTGCTCTGATCAGACATGCCCCTGTCCCGTAGCTGCAGCTTCATTGCCGTCCTCTCAGGTAGATTCTTCTGGGGGAGGGGCAGTTGCCGACCCATTTCATAATAAAGCAAGGAGGGCATTAAGACAGCCCATAAAAAAGCTATGGTAGTTTCAGACCACCGTTCATGGACACCCTCACGGCAAGAGACCCGAATCAAAGTCCAACCACTGCCAGTTCTGTACTCTTGGGCTAGCAGTCACCTGCTTCTTCTCACACTGGGGAACTTAAGCCTGAAATCCAAGGGCCACAAGTGAGTTTGAGGTAAATCCAGTTCACTTAGTGGGATTTCTACATTGAGTCTGTGTTAATCTGGGTAGACTAGAGAAACAAATTTATAGAGACTCATATGTGATTAAGAAAGAGGTTTATATACAAGAGCAATTGAATATTGAGAAAACATCCCAGCCCGGTCCAGATCAAGTCCATAAGTCCAATATTAGCCCATATATTCAATACTAATCTATAAAGTCCTCTTCAGACTCACAAAACACATGCAATGACAGAAAATTCAGGAGGATCACAGGCCAGTGGTTGGAAGTTTTCTGGATCCAGTGGCATTTTAAGCATCTCAGTGCTGGCAGGGGTCTCTACATAGCTTCTCTGGTTTCAGAGGTCTGGTTGCATCAGGGTAGGTCCATGTGGCTGCTCAAGCACCCAGGACATAGCACCATGTGTCTTGTCAGTAGAGCATCTTCAAGGGAATGAACCGAGAGAGAAGTGTCTCCTGCCTCTAAGGAGGAAATACAGGAGTTACCAGAATTCTCAGGAGAAGGCCATGCCCACAGAGAGGCCTCATTGGTTATATCGTGATTGACAGGCCAGACCCCTCCCCTTCACTTGTAATCCTCTCAGATTGACACCAGATTATGTAACTACCACAGAGTCCTTCTGGTGCAGTTTATGAGGGATATTGT